ATATTAGCCTGGGCACTAACCCATCTGCAACCCAGGCTCAGCTCTGCTCCAGTAACACACCTTGTTCATTAATCCTCAAAGATGTCATATTGTACATGGAACAAGAACCCATAGCCAAGTAGTTAAACCTGGCAGAAAGCGAAGAAATACCTATTTAATAGAAAGGTTCACTGGATTATGACAACCTTTCATCCAGAAAATGCTGAAACATTTTAAAAAAAGATAGAAACAATTCTAGATACAATGCTTTGGTTGTTACCCTTCTACCTAACAAGCATCAGAGATAACAGTATGTGTCCAGTTGGCTGACTTCTTGCCTCTCTATTAGAAACATAGTTATAGTAGGTTTAAATGATTTAGTTTTTGATTAACTTGTGAATTTCTATGAAACTTTTCAAGATAGTCCATGCAATATCTTTGAATGCGTGTGCTCAGTCATGTCCAACTCTCTGCAACCGCATGGACTGCAGCCTGCCAGGCTCCTCTGTCCATGGAGTTTTCCAGGCAAGGATACTGCAGTGGGTTGCTATTTCCTCCTCCAGGGGATCTTCCCAATCAGGAATTGAACCTGCATCTCCTACATTACAGGCAGATTCTTTACTGCGTAAGCCATCAGGGGAGCTCTAAAATAAGACAGCTTCTAAGATCTCTGTGGGGCTTACAAGGTGGTGCAGTGGTAAAGAACCCACCTGCCAATGCCAGCATTTTGAGATAACACCATATAAGCACTTTTAAATATCCACAATAATGGGAAAAGGGAATGACAGTGGCCTAGAACAATGCCTGTCATTTAGAAGGCTCTCAAGAAATATTTATGGATTGAATGGAGGAGGAACTTTAAAACTTCACATGAATTTTGAGGACCAATAAAGGGCTGAGATTCAGCAGATTTAGTCTGCTACTGCTCTGTAATCTTGGGCAATTTAAGTAACCTGTTAATATCTCAGATTCATTCTCCTTTAAGTGGCCTTAAGAGCCTTTGTACTCTACAGGGTTACTGTGGAGGGATGATTAGATGATGCCCAAGAAAGCATTCTGAAAAGTCAAAAGATCTAATGCATATAAAAAGCCATCATTAGTCACACAGAATTGGACACATGGGCTCATTTCTACCCTGCAGCAGAATCAGATGTCAAACAAAGTTTAGGGTCCAACTTTTTGGCTCAGACTTCTTCAAAAATTTCTGACTGTGTGATCGGTGATATACCTGTAGTCTAGGTATATTGTTGAAATCGTGAACTTTTTTTTAATAATAAAAAAAGACACAGCAAGACCTCATACATCATCCAGTAGAAGCACTTTAAAAACTATGAAAATTGGTTCAACAAAACATTTCTCATTCTTGAAGTATATGGTAACAAGAAGACAGAAAAGAAGGGGTTCTAAATGGGATTCACAGACCCCACGGAGTTCAGAGATGGGCTTCAGGAGACCTCAAGATTTCATGTACAACACTGTGTTCTAGAGGAAGAATGAGCCGGAACTCCACAAGAGTTAAGAGTTGACTCAAGCTAGAGTTCTGAAGGTAACAGTGATTCACATGCTTTCTTTTGCCTCTTCTATAATGTTTGTTTACATGATTCTCTCTTCATTCCTTGTTTTTCCTTAGTGTGTATCAAGACTACTGTAATGGCATTCAGGGGCTTTTACGTGAGTTGGTTGAGGGCAAAGTAAATGACAGTGTTGAATAAATATTAAATACAGAGTTATTAACATTGTTCTGATCACAATATCTTCAGAAAAGAAAAAGAACAAAAAGCAATACATTTCCTTTTTCACTGTATTAAGGACAAATGAAAATGGGGCTGGGCATGCTTTTATGTTTAGACACACATCTACAGAGGTGGCTAGGGGACAAGACAATAGAATAAATGTGGAATTGAGAATGAGGTGAAAGTAGAATGGCAAACTGTAAATAGTCTAGAAAATGATAGTGGTAAAGTAGCAAAAAGCAACTATTCATAACTCTGACGAATGTCTTTAGTTACCCACTACTTTATGAGGCCTCCAAGCCAACTGGCTTCCAGTTTGGGAACACAGCGGAAACTCAATTTTTAAAATACTCATGTACACACTGCTATATTTAAAATAGATAACCAACAAGGACCTACTGTATAGCACAGGGAACTCTGCTCAATGTTATGTAGCAGACTAAATGGGAGGGGAATTTGGGGGCAAATGGATATATGCATATGTGGCTGAGTCCCTTTGCTGTTCATCTGAAACTATAACATTGTTAATAGCTATACTCCAATATAAGATAAAAACTTAAAAAAATACTCATGTACCCTAAAAATAATAAATCAGAGAGCTCAAACCAAGGATAAGGTAAATGAAATCCAAATCCCAGTAAACATTGAGAAAAAAAAAAAGATTGAACAATTACTCTGAAGTTTTTGTTGAACCATGATTAGAATTGAACTTTTAGGGAATTCCCTGGTGGTTGAGTGGTTAGGACTCCTTGCTTTCACTGCTGAGGACATGGGTTCCATTCCTGGTAGGGGAACTAAGATCCCACAAGCTGCTTGGTATGGCCAAGAAAGAAAGAGGAAATGAACCTTCAGAAAATGTTTTTCTAGAATATTTTCAAATGCTAATTGGCTTGAACATCACTAATCTGTCCAGGAAAAAAAACATGTGCAAAACAAAACCAAACTTACACTAAAATAAAGTATGTCCTAGTTTTATCCTGCTGAACTATATGAAAAAATGGTTCACCACATATCTGAGGAAGTTAACCAGCTTTCTGGTCCAGTAAATTTGTGTTCTTTGATAGTAAGCATTGCAGCTTTGGCAATGGAACTCATGATCTGGCTGACGTGTGTGTGTGTTTTAATCGCTCAGTTGTGTCCGACTCTTTACAACCCTGTGGACTGTATCCCACAAGGTTCCTCCGTCCATGGGATTTTCCAGGCAAGAATACTGGAATGGGTTGCCATTTCTTTCTCCAGGGGATCTTTCCAACCCAGGGATCGAACTTGGGTCTCTCACACTGTGGGCAGACTCTTTACCATCTGAACCACCAGGGAAACCCTGAGCCACCCATGAAAGCTGATGTGTGATGCACTAAATAATTGTTCAGTAATTTAAGGGAAATGAAAACAAATCAAGATCCAGTTTTCTCTGACATTTATGGGTTAAACCTTCTCTTAATAAGGCACAGGGAGATGATCCATAGATTGTTATATATGACAGCAAGGTTTTTGAAAATTTAGATACTGGTGACAAAAGCATAGATTTTGGAAACTGATTTTATTTTATTTTATTTTCCCAGTTATTTTTATTAGTTGGAGGCTAATTACTTTACAATATTGTAGTTGTTTTTGCCATACATTGACATGAATCAGCCATGGATTTACATATGTTCCCCATCTGGAAACTGATTTTAGAATGTACTTGAAAATGTTAAGTTGATGACTGTTTTTAGTGATAGCTTTCAGTGCAAATTTGAAACCTGTAAAATCAAAGTAATAAAAGCCAAATTACATTCTTTATTTAAAAACAACTATATAGTTTTAGATGTGGCAAAATAGCTTATTAAACACTTGTCTAAGAAATATCAAGGTTGAATTACAAAAAAGAGATGAAAAAAGGAGTTTCTTGATAGCCTCTTGCTCAGATAACTACTCTGTAAATCGGAAATGAATGAACACTTTTTGATTTGCTAATGTCCTAAAAATGCACAAAGTGCTATCAGTTAAAAGCTGTATGCAACGTCTTGGTCGCTTTTACTGTAAATAATGAATAATGTTTCTTAAAACACATTCAATTAATGTGGAACATGAGGTTAGCTGAACAGGAGGTTGCCATGTAGCTGGGATTGTCGGAAAAGAAGAGATAACAAAGAGAATGCTCTGCTAGCATTACAGTAACATTTCAGGATGTACTAACGTGCATATCTCTTCCACAGATAATTAAGAAGTCATTTTAAAAATGAATAATCTTGGTGAATGGTTTTGGTTTACATCTAAGAAAATTAGAGATCAGAAAAATTACAAAATAAGCAGCCTTATTTAATATGCCTCATTTCTGCTCTGGAGGGGCTGGTTGAGCTAATGCAACTCTTGTCCATTGCTGAGGGCACCACTAAGCAAGTTTATTTCTTGTTATCTTAGGAGTGATATGTTAGAAAAATGATCTTTTAAATGGTCATCTCTGCATCTCAACTTGTTTCTTCATTTCTCTTCCTCTGACAACTATCTATACTTTCCTTACATAATAAGAAATGTTAAGGAGCTCCCCAGATGGAGTTCTTGAGGCTTAAAGGGGAGCCAGTTTCAACAGTGGCACACTTGTCTGTCCTTTAAATAAAATCTGTGGTGTAGTTGTTTATGTTTTTAATAAAAAATAGAAGCTTTCCAGAAATAACTTCAATCACACCTAAGTACTGGAGCATTATGGCTATTTCATGCTAGACCCCAGCAGGCCTAATAGTTGAGGCCTGAGCTAGTTACGGAGATTGCTGCCATATGCAACAGGAACACTGCAGCCAATGAAAAGGGCTTGAGGGGTGTTCCTCCCTGTTTTGTGAAGGTGAATTTAAGGAATCCTGACCCAACCTGTGAATTGTTCAGAATCTGTGTTTCCATCCCAAAATGCCCACGATTCTTAGGTTTTCAGTGAATCTGGTTGTTTTAGCTTTCCAATTCTATCTAACCAAAGAAAAGACACTTTAACTACTTATTCAGACCAGCTGTACCAAATGCCAGGAACTGTCTGAGGCTGCATGCCAATATTGTGATTTCATGGAACTTTCTCTAATTGTCAGTGTAGTACTACTGGGTCTATTTCCCTTCTGTATGTTTTTTTTTTTAAAGAGAAGCCATGTTTAATATTGTGAAATATGACACATCTCCTCCTCTCCCAGCCTCTAGAACAGTGATAAATTTCAGAGCACGCTCAGCAGAACTGGATTGTATTATGCACAGTACACATGTTCATCACCAGAACGGAACTCGCCAGAATGTGTGCAAGTAGAATGAATTGCTGAGACTTCAAAATTTCAGTTCCTCACAACTGATTTTATTAGCCAATATATACCAAAGATGGACGGCAAAAGACGTGTCATTTTTGCAGTTTTCTTTCACCACTGGAGCCCTGTGCTGTTGTCGACTGTAGTTTTCCGGTCTTTTGATTAAGCCTTGCCTGTCGTGTGCTGCTGTAACATCAGAGTAACTGCTTTGCACCCTGTCACCTCCTCTGGCAGGCAGCCGTCCTGGTCTCGGAGGGTGGGGTCGGCCCCGGACTGGAGCAGCAGCTCCACAATGTCCAAAAACTCACAGGCAGCAGCTGATGGGGAAATTGACAAATATGGAAACCAGGTTACTGTGAGACAAAGAGAAACCACTACACTTCAGCAGGAAAGGCAAGTGCTGAGCAATAAGAAATCCTGAAAAATGAGCAATGTGACAGACTGGGGGTGATCAGGCCTTGGAATGAAACAGTGCTGTGACAGTGGATTTGCTAGTGTTAAGAAAACCAAATTTACCTCTGTGTTTTCCCAGAAGCCAATAGACAGACAAAGACATTTTTTAAAATTGTGAGGCTTTTAGACTCTATTCTTCAGGATGGGAATGAAAGGAAGGAACAAAAACTAGTTGAAGTATTTCTTTTACTTTGATCAAAATAATGATATGTCTGTAAGCTAAGTCAAAAGGCTAAAAATACTGTAAATGTAGAAGAAAAAACTTTTGTCTTTGAAGAGGGAGTAAGTGGGTAACTAACTGAACTTTAAAATTAGTTAAACAAAAACAAAAACAGTGGCCTAGTAATCAGACTATCCCTCTAAAGAAAACAAACCAAAAAAAAAAAGGCACCAATAAAACAAGGTGTGTGAAGAGGAAAAGGACCCACAGACATCAAAGCTTATCATGAAGATGGTACAGTATTGCCCCCAGACCAAAAGGCTAGAAGAGAGCCATCCTCTTGTGCACATGTAGAGAAACTTGACTTATGACAATGCTGGCATCAAAGATCAGTGAGTAAACGAAGCTCCGTTAAATCAGACGGCCCCGAGACAGCGAGGCTAACGGCAGAAACGGCATTTCACAGAGGATCAAATGTAAGTGGCAATAAACATATGAAAAGATGAGCAACCACACTAGTAATCATGGAAATAAAAAATTTCATACCCACTAGACAGCTGAAAATCAAAACCTGAGACAATACAAGCATGGAGGAGGCCTGGAGCAAGGGGAGCTCCCCTCTGGACCGTGGGGAGCGTACACTGTGCCTCACTTTGGACATCCAGGTGGCATTACACATTGAACCTAAACATGTGCCCACCACTGGACCCAGCAATTCTACTCCTAGTTATACACTCTTCAGAAACCTTTGTGTGTGTTCTCCAGGACATACCTATAAGAAAGGACATACAATAGCCCTATCTGTAAAAGACCCCAAATGTAAACAACTCAAATACACATTGAGAATAACATATAAAAATAAAATACTGTTTACATATACAGTGAAATCCCCATACAACAAGGAAAACTAATGAACTACAGTTTCACATGACATGAGTTCATCTCCAGATATTAATGTTGAAGGAAAAAAAGCAAGTCAGAAGAACATACACAGTATGCTTCCACTTAAAATTTTAAAAGCAGTCAAAGCTAAACACCATTGTTCAGAGACACAAATAGGTAGTGAAACTATAAGGGAACACAGTGACATAAAATTTGAGTGTTAATCTGGGGACCCTGTAGGGAAGTCCATGTAATTGGATAGGCATACACGGGGTTTCAAAGATATTGGCAGTGTTCACTTTTTTTTCCACTTTCTTAAACTATGTGGTAGGTACAATTTTTCAAAGCTCTACTTTAAAATTTTCCTATCTATTTTATATAAAATTCTGTAGTGTGACATATTACACAATGGCAACAACAAAAGGTTTTAAAACAAGGGGAGAGCAAGAAGGGTAAGGGGTTTGATTCAATGAGTATTTTATCGAATACATACTATACCAGTTCTATAAAAGATACAGGTAAGACTCCAGCTCTGAGGAACTTAGAAGGATGAATATAATAAACACTGTGGCAGGCAGAGGTGACAGGTGAGGTGGGTGGAGGAGAGGAGAAGGAAGTTGAAGGATCAGGAAAAACACACAAGTAGGTGGTATGTAAGCTGAGCTTTGAGGACGGAGTAAAATTCCAGGTAAACTGAGAAGGAAAGGCATTGCAGAGTGAGAAAACAACATTAACGGAAGGAGCAGAGGATGGGGAATGCTGAGGAAACTGTCTGCTGGCCCAGAGAGCAATACAGAGAGTTAAAAGCAGAGAGTCTGGATTAAGTCAACCTATACAAAGCTTTTTTTTTTTTTTCTTTTTATTAGTTGGAGGCTAATTACTTTACATCATTACAGTAGTTTTTGTTATACATTGATATGAATTAGCCATGGATTTACATGTACTCCCCATCCCAGTCCCCCCTCCCACCTCCCTCTCCACCCGATCCCTCTGGGTCTTCCCAGTGCACCAGGCCCGAGCACTTGTCTCATGCACCCAACCTAGGCTGGTGATCTGTTTCACCCTAGATAATATACATGTTTCAATGCTGTATACAAAGCTTTGAAGGAGGAGAGGAGTAGCATTATCTCAGCTCTGAGTTAGGATGATAATTCTGGAGTGACCTGGGGGACCTAAATATCTGTGGCAGGCAGAACAGTTAAGGAGACTGTGGTAGTGCTTTAGGGTGCTTGAAGTTAGCTAGTATTGGCAGGAGTATAAATAAAGTACTGAATATGAGAGCCACTGAAATTCAGGTAGGACACAGCAAAATACAAATGTATTTCAAAAAAAAGTTTGTGAACGATAAATTTAATAATTAATGAGGTTGATATAATATATGTAGATACCTAGTTAAACATTTAACTATATTTTGCATTTTTTTTTCTGGAGCGAAAATATTTTGTTTCAGATTTCAAGTATTTTTATAGACTTTGAAAAGTTCTTAGGCCCAAGACCTGTCAATAATAATGTTTACTGAATGAAACAGTCTGATAGATAAAGAAAAATTACTGATAAATTTGATTATATAGAAACCAAAAACTGATAAATTTGAACACATAAAAATTTAAAACAGCTATACCACACACACATGAAAATTTGATATACAAAAATAAACCATAAACTGGGAAACATTCACCTATACAACACAGACAAGAGCTAATGTCCTTAATATTTTAAAAAAAAACAACTTAAAAAAATCAATCCAAAAGAACAATGGGCAGAAGAATTAGAAGAATCAAGAAGACACCTATGTTTCTAGTCTGGGAGAACACATAGATGTAGCTGACATCTCTAAAACAAGGCATCAAAAGAAGGAAGAGGAGCAGTTTTTCGAGAGAAACAGAAGCAGAAAATTATTGAGGGGGAGAAATAATATTGGTTTGGGACATGATAAATATGTGGTGTTGGGGGATGTCTATATTGATAAAGTCAGACAAGAAGGTAAAATTTGAATATGAAAAAAGAAACCAATAACCCACCCACCCCATACACACTGCTACCTCCATTTTTTGGAATTTGGAAAAGACCCTGGTGCTGGAAAAGACTGAGGGCGGGAGGAGAAGGGGGCGACAGAGGATGACAAGGATGGATGGCATCACTGATTCAATGGACATGAGTTTGCACAAACTGGGAGATAGTGAAGGACAGGGAAACCTGGCATACTGCAGTCCATGGAGTTGCAAAGAGTCGGACACGACTTACTGACTGAACAACAACCTCCACTTTCATCGTACTGTGTGACTTTCTGAAGATGCATGTTTTTGGATCAGGATTTTTAGCAATTTTTCTGAATACCCTGTTACATGTTTATATTACATGACTTGATTGGCCAAAGAGTTACCTACCTAAGGTGGCTTCCGTTACCATGCTAGAGACATACTTTTGAAAGAGACAGTGTTCTTACCAATAGACACATTTATGTGTCTGGGAAATAAAAAGCTTTAAAGGCAAAGATTGTTAATGCCAGTTATTACATTTTCACCTGTATTTTTTTTTTTTTACTACAATTTACATTCATCCACTTTGGTTTTTGTTGTTGTGAATCACTGAATATATTTTATTATTATTCTACATTATCTTTACTGGGTTTTCTTCTTCCTGTAAACAGACTTTACTCTTCACTAGCTCTTTAAAAGCACCATTAGCAAACCTACTTACAATGACTGTCCTTTACCACACCTGGCCTTATCTCTCCACCATGCTTTCAACAGACTACTGCAGTGAGCTTGTATCAGAATTACCTGGAGACACTACCCCACAGTTTCTGACTGGTAGGTTTGGAGCAGGACCGAGAATTTACATTTCCTAACAGGTTCCCAGGTAATGCTGATACTGCAGATCTGGGACCTCACTTTCAGACTCAGGGCTCTACCAGCGTGCCTCCTCCCTCATGCTATTTGCCAATTTTCACAGCTACAGCCACTTAACTCACACGTGTAGGAAGGAATATAGGCCTCTCATTGGTTCCATATGACGTAACTTTACGTCGGATTTGATGCGGGTAGCAGACATAACTCTGTCTGCCTTTACTGAGTTTTCTGGCTCCCACACCTCATTTCTTTTTGGATTCCTTGCTGGACATGCTATTTCCTCTGGGACTAGGACACTGATTTTGCTTGCTCAGTTCCTTCTGGAAGATGAAGATGAGCAGGTAAGTTCACTTCCTACTTCTGGGAATCTACCTGGTTGCCTTCTGGACATTTGCTTTACAGTGTTGGTTTGCCTGCGCTGGTTTCTTTCTGTTGCTTATTGTTAAGACTTTGAAGTTTGCCTTTTTCTGTGCCTGAGTCTAGTGTCTTGAGTCTGGCGTTCCTGGGACTGACTTCAAATATCCAGGCTACCCTCTCTGCTTTTCAAACAAGGGTTATTTATTCGGTTGAACAACGTTGTTGCTCTTTCTATGACTGCTGCCCATTCTTTCTCTATTTTCATTTCTATAGAGGAGCCTGGAGGGCTACAGTCTGGAGTTGCAAAGAGCCAGACATGACTGAGCAACTAACACAACACACGTGTTTCCCGACCCCTCAACTCCAGGCTCCATCTTCCTCATGTTCTGAGCCTCAGGACTGGCTTGGTCTTCTCCCTCTGTAAATGATTACTTCTCTGGTAAGATCATGCACCTTGGCTGGCAGGTTTTAATGCCAACTACATGTATGGCTTAGATCCAAGTTAGCCAACTCTATTTTTTCCTTTTTAAAACTGGTGTCAAGGAGGTCTATGAGTTTGCCATGCAAAGTGTAGTCTGAGGATCAGTGGGCTTTTAGCATACTAGGGGAGCTT